TTGCGTTTCTGCTCTCCAATTCGGCAATTCTCTCTCTGTAGTCGTCCAAAGCCGCCGAGACATCATTCCTTCTCAGTTCGTTTTGCTTCTGCTCCAAGAGCTTGATCTCCCTCTTGGCCTCCTCAAGCTGGTTCTCTAAAAGTGCAACCATTGCAGAGTCGTCTGGGATAGCATCAAGTCTTGCCCTTTCTTTAAACACATCGAGCTTGTTCTCGTAGTAACGTTGCTGGTCGTTAAGCTCCTTCTGAAGCCTCTCAAGTTCACGCTCCAGGCGCTCCTTCTCACGCTCCAGACGTTCCTTCTCGCGCTGGATAGCCTGAAGCTCGTATGTCATTTCAGCCCTGGCACCATAAGACTCTTCAACATAACTCTTGCCTCTGTAGTCTCTATTCATAGAGCGGAGACGAGATTCCAATGCATCTATTATCTCATCCTTATCTCTGACAGTGGTTTCGAGCTTACTCTGTGAGAGTTTGTTGTCCCTCATGCGAGTTTCCAAATCAACAACCTCCTTGGTGAGAAGTTCCTTATCCTTGGCAACGTTGTCAGACTTTCTTCTGAATTCTTCGGCATCCCGTTCGAGCTGTCTGTTTTGCGTGCTCAAAGCTTCGATTTGATGCTCAAGACGATAAACTTTTTCTTCGGCACGCTTCTTCTCCATTTCATAGTACATCGAGTCATTCCTCAGCAGCTCACGTTGAGCCAGCCTCAAGTCAGCCTTAAGTTGCTCAAGCTGCAACTCCTTCGCTTCTAAATCATCTCTCAACGAATTGAATCTAATGGTGTTTCGCTCACTTTCCTCCACGAGACTGCTGTACTCCTTCTCGTAAAAGTCGACCCTCTCGTTGAGCTCGTCAATTACATATTGCTGGTCGTTCTTCAGGTGAGAGCGCTTGGACAAGCGGTCCTCCAAGTCTGCAATGACATCTTCGAGATCACGCTTCTCGGCTTTCAAGTGCTGTGCGTTCTTGCGCAACTCGTCGATTTGCTCTTCGAGTAACTTGGATGTTTTGTCGTTGTTTTCAAAAACACGGAACCTGTCCTGTGAGCTGTTTGAGGCAAGCTCCTTTTCTAAATGTGCGTTCTTGCGAGCGAGCCGATCCGCCTCATGCTGTTTTTCGAGGATATCATCTTCCAAGCTGCGCAAGCGATTCCTGAGATCTCTAGCCTCAGTAGTGGCCTCCTTAAGCTGAGCCTCGCGCCGACTGGCACTGGCCGTAAGCTTGCTCATTTCGGCATGCAATTCATCGATTTTCTGCTCTTTGCCTGGCGCCTGGGATCGTATCAGTCTCATGACGGCTTCCAAGGAGTCCTTCTCGTCCTGTAGTGTCTTTTTCTCGTGAGCCAACGTATCCACGCGCTGCTCAAGGGCTTCCCTCTCGGCCTTGGTGCCTCTTTGTCTCTCTTCTAGAGCCTCCTTTTGGCCCTCCACCAGTCTCAAGTCGTCAACGGCCTCTCGAAGCTTCCTTTGGAGTGATTTGCACTCACTTTCTAGACTTGAAATCTGGTCGTTGGCGTCCAGTGGCACTTTCCGTTGCTGGAGCTCAAGCTGGTGGATCTGAGCCCTCAATTCGTTATTCTCCTCTTGGAGTTCATTATGACTGTAGTCGCGTTTGCTGGCTGAGTCCGAAAGCTGTCTTCGGAGCAGCTGGTTGTCGTTCTGCAACGATTCGAGTCTGGCGTAGAATTCATCGGGAATGTGACTTTTGCTCAGCTCCAGGCGTAGTTGTGCGAGCTGTGCCTTCAAATCGCTTATGAGATCGTCTTTATCAGCAATTGCCTCCTTGTACAGCAGCTTCATCGCCTCCATGGCTGCGCCATCCTCTCTCGTGTCTGTGCCCAGTCTCTCGAGCTCTTCTAAAGCGCGAGCCAACTTCTGCTTGAGCTCCATGTTCTCGTAGACCATGTTTCTCTGCTCCTCAGGCGTCTTACGCATGTATTTTGTCAACGTGGCCACTTCAAACTTCAAATTGTAGTTCTCCTGTTGGAGCGTTTCGAGTCTCAGGGTGATTTCCTGAACCAGGCCGCCATTGTCACCGACAATTTTGTCCTTTTGTTTGAAGAAACCGTCAAAAAGCCCGCCAGAACGTGTAGTTTTGGGCAAACTCACCGACGAAACACCCGCCGTCGGCAGCCTCATCAGGTGGTGGGTTTCTGTATCGTCTGTGTTTTCAAAAGTGGTATCGATCTGGGAGTTGGAGATTTTGTCACTGTTTATGGCCATTCTGGGCTCTGGAGGCGAGGACCGTTCTTGTGGCCGCCTTTTTCCAATTGGTGTGAATTCCCATTTTGTAGACCTCTCTGGCGGTACCAAAGAAGAGGCAAACATGGGAGGTTTGAATTGTGATTTGATTTGTTTGTGTTTTGGTTACGCGGTTCGCGATGTGGTTGTATGTGGGGTCACGTGTGTTGTCACGTGAACGCAGTGATAAGCCTGTGTATAAGAGGCTTGGTCGATGGGTGCAAATCCATGGAGAGTCAGATCAGCTAAGATAAATGAAATTTGTGGATTTCCGTTTATGAATTAGGAATTACAACTTTAACCAATCGAGGTAGTTAGTATATAGATTTTAGAAATGTGAGCTCATAACACCGTATGTTCAGAGAAGCTCATCAGGGTAGCATATATGGCAGATGGGATTCCCCAATAGTATATCATAAGTAAAGTCCAATTTGATGAAAGAAAAAGAAGTGCAAGGTTTTTGTGGGTTCAACGGTAAGTAAGCAAAGCTTATTTTTGAAAAAAGAAAATAAAACGATCTGTCGACTCCCTGGTTCTAAATGGTAGATAGATAGTATCTTATTCACCAATAATTATGTCATCCCATTATATGAATCTGTTTTTCGACAAAATCATAGGGAATAGAGCTTTAGTACCTCTAAAGCATGATCTAATTGTGGAAATACCAAACAGACCTTCTTCACAAAAAAAATCACATCTCCTTCTTTATTCAAAGCTCCATCTCCAACCCACCATAAACTTCTGTCCCCCTCCCTACACCACCACCCCTGTGCATACGTCTATTATTCTCTATTTTACCACGTCCTCAGCATTACCCGGCTCTCACTGCTGCACCTCGCCAAGAGCAGCCTTGAAGTCCTCCAAAGCACGTGCAGCCTTACCCAGCACCAAACTGTCCACAGCCAACTTGACGCCTTCCTCCCAGGAGTCGGTGAGTCCTGCAACCACGGCCACGGCAGCCGCATTCATCAAAATGTAGTCCACCAACGGGTGGTTTATGGTTTTGCACGTGTACTCGGGCGTATCCTGCCTCAAGATGTGTAGAAGAACGTCAGCGTTTTCCTGGGGAGTGCCGCTCCGGACAGCCAGCAACGGGTGCTCCGGGAGCTTGAAGTTTTTGGGCGAAATGACTGTTCTTGTGATGTTGCCGTTTTCATCGATGATCCAGCACTTGGTGAGTCCCGTAGGGCTGATTTCGTCAAGACCGACCTCTCCCCAGACCACCATGGTTCTTTCGTGCGAGGGCGTTTTTTGGGCGAGTTTGGCCGCCGCCAAGGCGTACAGCTCACCGAGTTTCTCCGAGTAGACCCCCAAAATCCGGGCTCGAAGCGGGATCGGGTTCATGAGCGGGCCCAAAATGTTGAATATCGTGGGGATGCCCATCTGGGCACGAATAGGTGCCACCTTGCCCATGGCCGGGTGGAAGGAAGGAGCGAAAAGGTAGCAGAAGGAGCTTTTCTGGACAATCGACGGGGTGGTTTTGCTGTTGACGACGCTCAAATCGACACCCAAGTACTTCAAAAGATCACCTGACCCAGACGTCGACGTCAGCGCCTTGCCTCCGTGTTTACACACCTTGAGCCCCATTCCAGCAGCGACAATAGCTGCTGAAGTAGAAACATTAAAGGTGTTTTGTCCATCGCCTCCAGTGCCCACGATATCGATGTAGCCCTCTTTTTCCACAAGCGAAGGTTCAATGTAATCCAGAAATTCAAGAATCGTCAGCACGGCCGCAGCAATAAAATCAGGCTCGTGGTCAAGGCCTCTCATTCTCAAGGCAGTAAGAAAAGCCGCCAGCTGGATATCCAGCGGGATGCCCCTGAACATGGATCTGAGCACGGTGCTCAAGTCATCGGGCGTGAGGTTCGGGGGCTCGAGGAAAAGCAGCTTTATGTACGGCGTGAGGACCTGTTTTGTGGACATATTGTTGTTGATGGGGTACTCAATTTTCGGCAAAAGTGTTGATACCGGCACGTGACGAGAGGGTCCCTGGTGGGTTTTCACGAAGCGGGAGGGTTAAAATGTTAGGGGGGTGGGGGATCGCCGAAAGCGGGATTCGCTTATTGAGGCCTGGCTTTATTTAAATGATTACTGGGGGAATTGGGGGAATTGGATGGGTATGGTGGTGCTGTGCTCCTGCACTGTGGAAACGTAGCTGTATTTTGCAGCCATTCTTGGAGGGACGTGGAGACGACTTTTGGGAAATCTAATTATATATTTGCAATCCTTGAGTTTTGGGCTACCAGAATCACTATTTTGGTTTTGTATTTTGTGCTTTTGGCGAGGGTTTGATTGGGGCATCTTGACCCTCGTTGACTCATTCTCACCGGCACATGTGGAAAGGTGTGAATTTGAAAAATTTTCAAATTGACCAAGTGTGGGAGTTTTGTCTGTTTTTGTAATCTGTTTGTATTGGTTTATGGATGTTTTGAAATCACTCCAATGTGACTTCATAGATCTATGTGGAGTTGCATGAAAAGGATGGAACGAATCCTAGATCCAGCAGGCCTGCTTTTCAGCTCTACTATCACGAAATCGTCCAAATCGTAAAATATTCGGTTTTCTTGGATATTCTGTATTTATTATACGTGGGCTCAAATTGGGATGATTCAGTAGTTCTACAACACCACATTATTGCTTCTTTCATTCTATACCTATATTAATTCCTTATGAACCAATTGAAGCAAATCCAATTCAAGGAATCCTGTTTTTGCACTTTCTCGGCAGCTCGTAGCAGCAAAGCTGCCTCGCTGCCTCGTTAAGCTTCTTCCCCAACGTCAACCTCAAACGTCATCTCCTTATCCACATCCAAATACGAATCACACATACACCAAACACTCAACTTATGATGACCAGCAACAGGAACCGTAAAATCCATCTTAACCTCCTGCGTCTCTAAAGCCACAGTCGTCTTCTTGATACCGTAAAGCTGCCTGGATTGAGCATCTCCAATAACAACCCACCAGCCTTCACGCTTCTGACTAGGGAAACGTGGAGCAACAACATCGAGATCCTCCAACTCTTCATCTCTCTCAATTGTAACGGTGATCTGCTTGGGTTCACCGGCAACAACGCCCTCTTCAACATCGAGCTCATACGACACATCCACGTTTGGATACTTATTCACAAAGTCAGCCACATCCTGAAGCTGCTGGTCCTCAAGCTGAAGCACATCGTCTCTTTCATCATCCTCCAACGACATGATATCGAAAACCGTCTCGACCTTGTACTTCTTGCACCGTTCAAGCATGCCGTTGTTGACATGAGGAATCTGCTTCAAAGGCAGCTCTCTGTTCCACATACCCTGAACAAGCATCTGTGAAAGATCCATCGCTTGAAGAGCGTTAAGGTGGCCTTCAGAAGACAACGAGTCAACACAAGCAAACACGAGATTCATGATCGACTTCAAAATGAGTTTCTGGTCTTCAGCCAAATCAGCAGGCAAAGAGATTCTCGACAAATGAGCCTGAACAAGCAAGAAAGCCTTGGTTTGAGGCGATTCCAAAACGACATCAGTACCAATTTTGAATGGAACCACTGCTGCCAATTGGCTCAAGGTCTTTTCGTCACCGGGCCTATAAAGAAGCAGCTCAAACTCCGCAGCCGAAGTAACGACCTCCAAAACATCACGAAGTCTGGATTTGGCGGTCAATTCGCTGAAAAGCTTCATGGTGAAGAAACTGACGTTGTAGTGGGAGGCGATCATGGCACCATTGAGTGGAGACATTTCCTCTTCCTCCTCTTCTTCGTCTTCGTCCTCTTCCTCTTCATCGTCCATCTCGATCAAGCCGGCATCCGTCAATTCCTTCAAGGTGTTTTCCACAAGATCAGACAAATACTCCGAAACCTCAACATGACCCACATTTTTGAGGCCATAGAAGCTGGGATTCTGTACCAAACGGCGGTAGAAGAATGTGTACGTGAGCCAGTCCACACAGTCTTGTCTGGAGTGGAAAGTTCTGGCCGAGATCTCGTGAAGAAAAGCATCGTATAGATCCAGGTACAAGTAACTCTCCAACGGCATTCTGACACTGAGGAATTTGGAATAGTAGGTAACTCGAGGAGCATGCACTAGCGCTAAGACCTTGCCTCCAGAGCTTGAGCCCACCATCTCGAGAATATCATTCAAGTAGTAGTCTGTGTTCTGGTGGATTTCCTCGTCTTGGGAGCCTAAAATGACAATGTTTTGCGCCTGAGGAGCGTATCTAGCAAATGATCTCGTTGCAATACCGATACTAAGAAGCTCTCCAGAAAAGAGACGACTCATCACAAGTTGGTCTCTTGGGGATAAGACCTGGTGGAAGATACCAACGCCTTTTTCTGCGAGATTTCTTGCTGTCTTGTCGCTGATTTTCAGCAAGTAAGAAGAAATCTCTGCATTTGTTGTGGTGAGCTCAGCGACTTTCTGGGAAACCTCCAAGGCGATTTTCTGGTTGGGCACAAAAATAAGTGTGGACCCTTCTGCTTTCTCCAAAAAGCTTGCAACCTTGGGCCAGTTCAGCATGGTGTAATTAGGTCCGTTGTAACCGTCCACCTTGATCTCCTTGATGGGCTTGAAACGCTCGTACGCTTCAAAGTTGAAGATATCCTGCTTGATACAGCCCAACCATTCCCCAAAATCTCTACCATAAAGAAGCGGATGTGACAAAGCGACGATCCGAAGATCCAGCTTCAAATGGGCACTCATCAAACGCATCCTTGAAAGCACGGTTTCATAAGCTGCTCCGCCATTTTCACCACTTGAAACCAAATGAGCGTCATCTGCAACCACCAATCCAATTTGAGTAACTGCTTTTCTCTGGCGCCAGCGCCTTGTAAGAGCATCGAATTGCGTGGGAGTTCCAAGAACCAAATGAGAGGTGGCCTGGATCTTGATATCTGAAGTGAGGTCTCCCGTGAGTTTGGCAATCTGCTTTGGAGGGTCTGTCAAATTGGCAAACTTCTTCTGCCACACCTTGAGATTGACATCCACAAGTTCCTGGGATGGCTGCAAATAAACGGCACGCTGCTTGTTTTGTCTCCAGTGGTTGAGTATGGCCAATTCGGCACAGACGCTTTTTCCACTGCCTTTTGCCATACCCAAAAAGACGTTTCTTTCGGAGTTCCAAAGGGCATGGAAGACCTGCGATTGGAACTTGTTGAAATGGGAAAAGTCAAAACAGTCCGTGAACTTTTCGTCTTTCAAGGCAGTCGTAGGGATGCTCTGAACATCGAGCAACTCTGTAGCAGACAGCGGCTTTTTGGGAAGCTGGGTGTGGAACATCTCAATGGGTTGTCTCCACAGACAGTTGAGCCACTTTTCACTGACAGCGGTCAAGTATAAATTAGGCGGAAGCGGGTCGGCAATAGGAACAAAAATGTCAAGTGCAATGGTACGGTGGATATTTTTCTGGTTGATCTGCAACACATCGTTGTGCAAAATCACCTCACCATTGACGTCTTCAACGATAATCAAGAAGTTCTCCTTGGAACCGTGGAGCGTCCTGTTCCATTCCCAATTGGGATTGATGTCTGCCAGAATACGCAAGGTATCCTGGGAAATTGGCTGAGCAGTGCACTTGATGTCCAATTTGGGGAAATTCTGAAGCAAGTTGTATGCCAATTGGCTCTGTCCTTTGAAATTGAAGGCCTCGGCGAGTTCAGCGGCATTTAAATTGAGGTAACTGATAAACGGCAAGTGAGACGCCTCAGTGGCCTTGATGAGCTCAAATGGTGCCAAACTGCCGTACTGTCTAAATGGAGAGCTTGTGTTCCAAGTTCGCTTTTCAACAATTTTGCAGAGCTCCAAGGTCACAAGGGAAGCAGAAGCCCACATTTTTTTCAAGCAAATCTCGTGGATAGCTCTAAGCAAACGGCCTGCCGATTGGGTGATGTAGATCATGTCTGCCATCAAGGCAAATCCCTCAAGCAGCAAATGGGCAATGTAGGCTTGTAACAAAACGTTGATTTTCGCCAATGGCTCGTTAGGTGCTTCTTTGATGGCAATGGGGCACTTTTCAGCAAGTTTGGCAATCTCAAGCTTTTCCTCTTGTCTCACCGGAACATACCTGAACTCTTCAGACGATGCAAAAACTCGAAGAACATCGATCTCCGACATCCACGGTTTGAGCTTGTTGTTGTACATGAAGATCGTGGAGTGGCCGATGTAGAAACCAGCGGCGATCTTTCCCAACTCAGTAGGGACCACCAGACCCGTCTCCTCATTATAGTTCAACAACTTGTGGTTGTTCAAAATGGTGAAGGCTGAGTGCACCAAATCGGCTCTTTTCCAGTACAAGACCTTATCGTCCCCATAGTCTGCTCCAACCTGGTAGAGTTTTGGTAATCTGAGCATCCGAATGTATAAGTACGTTTGGCCAAGCCAGTTCACCGCATCCTCCAAAGACTTGACCTGACCCAAGACTATTTCAGCATTCAAGTTATCTGCCAATTTGCTCATGAGCTGGGATTCGATAGGAAGCTGCTGGTTCAATACTGCCATGTAGTACTGGAGCTGGTCGTGAGCTGTGATAATCACACCTTCACCGGATTTATCGTAACGAGGTCTACCAGCACGACCCAACATCTGCAAAATGTCCTGGGGCAGAAGTTGCACCCAAGCACCTTTTTCAGGATTATAAGTATCTGTGCCTTTAATGACAACCGTGTGGGCTGGTAAATTGACACCCCAGGCCAATGTTGCCGTAGATACAAGAACTCTTATATGGCCCTGGGCGAAAAGATCTTCCACGGTTCCTCTATCTTCCTTCTTGAGACCAGCATGATGGATACCGAAGCCTGAAGAGAGAACCTGGCTCAAATTTTTGTTATTTGCGTTTTCAGCCTCTTGTCTGAGAATCTCCTGAGTTCCAGCACTGGAACTGGCGATCTTGATCTCCTCCTCTTCGGCCTTTTCAGCCAACCACTTGGCGGTCTTGAAGGTATCCTTTCTCGAGTGCACGAAAATAATAAGCTGGTGGTTGTTTTTGATGCTTTCCTTCAACTTATCAAAACAGGCCTCGTTCATGGCAGCCACCTTTTTGATAGCCTTCTTCTCCTTGATACCCACATACTGCTGCTCCAATGGACAAGGACGGTACAGGGCGTCAAAGTAGAAAAGGCCCTTTTTCAAGTCAACATCGATGAAACGTGCAACATCCTCGTAATTAGGCAAAGTGGCAGAAAGTCCAACTATTCTGATATCGGGGTTTCTCTTGGCCCTGACAATGATACTCTCCAACACTGGACCCCTATCGTCGTGCAACAAGTGGATTTCATCGATGATCAAGAGCTTCACCATGGACGCATACAGCGATTCGGTAGCTTTTCGAGTCACCACATCCCATTTTTCTGGCGTTGTAAAAAGAATCTGTGTTTCGGCGATTTCTCTCTGGCTGAGGCTCGAATCACCGGTGAATTCGTTCACAACCACGCCGTACTGAGAGGTGAGTCTTCTTTGAAACTCTCTGGTTTGTTCAGCGACTAAAGCCTTCAATGGTGCAACATACACCGCCTTGAATGACTTCAACGTTATACGACCGCTTTCACTATCACGGTAATTCAGCAAAAGCCGTAGGAAGGTGAGCATGGCAACGTTGGTTTTACCGGCACCTGTAGGGGCACAAAGAAGCAAGTTTTCGTCGCTTTGGAATGCCTGAGGGTAGATTTTCGACTGGATCCTGTTTAACGACTGTGTTTCTGCAGAAGGAAAAGCAGCCTGAGCCCATTCGGGGAGCTCAGAAATTTGAACAAGTTGTTCGTTGGTGGATTCAAGTGATGGCGGTCCTTCTGGAGCAGGTACCGAGATCACATCGTAGAGCTTCTTGTTTTGTTGATACGAGCCCTTGGGGAGACTGACCTTGGACGTCGCCATGAGGTGAGCACCTTGCTCGAAAACAAGACCTTCAAGATCCACGATTTTTGGTTTTCTCGTCTCCTGCTTTGTTCTCTTGGTCGGCTCTTCCTGGTCCAGAGCTCTTCTCTTTTTAGGCTGCTCTACAGCCACGCCAAACTCCGCTAGAAGCAGATCGAGCCCCATTTCTTTCATTTCCTGAATCGCCTTGGCTTTCTCTTTATCGCCTCCAAGCGCTTGTAGCTGGAACATGATTTTCCAGCGGTTTTCTATGCATAGTTTGACCAAATCGAGGTGCTTGTAGTCTGTGGCCTCCATAAGGGCCTTTTCGAGATCGGAGGCTGGAACGCTCTTGTCAAAGAGCACTTTTGTTATTTTCTTGCACTGTTCACGTACAGCCTCGGGCTCCCATTCTGGTTCCAGTGCAGAAACTCGGCTGTAGAAGAAATCACGCTTGATGTCATGTAACGGCAAAACGGTCGATTTCGGCGTTTCGCCACCCTGAATCGTCACATTCAGCGAATCCTGGATCACAGGCTCCGTTTCCTTTTCTTCAACAGCCTCCTCTTCCACCACCACATTAGTATGAGTCTCCTGGTCGTTTTCCTCCTCAAACTCAATTGCCAAAGCCTGGTCGCCTCCTTCTTCCGCTGCTTCCTCTTTCTGGTCATAATCCGTGATGCTGTGTGCGATCTTGATCAAAGCATGTAGTTCATCGTCTGAAAGCTTGGTTGATAGAAGCTCACCAATCTCGTTCCTCCTTTCCAGAAGATCCCTATCTTCATCCTTCAACAACTCTAGCACCGTGTCTGCTGCCGATAAAATCACACTATGAGGCTCGTCAGGAATATGTTGTCGTATTTCAGCAGTGAAAGCTTCAAAAGCCACGGCGTTTCCCTCGGTCGTGGGCTTGTACGCTATATCTTCGAAATTGAGGTCTCTTTGCACGAAATTCCCGTTATTTTGGCTCCTCTCTTCGTTTTCCTCGCCGTTGGCGGGCCTAGGCCGTGTTTCTGGCTCGGTTCGGGCTCTAGAGCCCATTTCTTTCATGGAGATATGGCCAGCCATAGAAGCCGGCGCCGAGTCTGGTTCGTTCAGATGCAGCGTCCTGCGGCCTCGGAGAGCAACGCCTGCTAGCTCTTTCTGCAGGTAGCCTCCTTTTTTTCCGTTTTCAGACATGGCCTTGGAAGAGTAGTTGGTGTTGATGATGGTGATGAGCGCACGTGACGAGAAGGCCATCTCGGTGGGTCCCAAGTCTGGATTTGTGGAAAGTGGGCATTTAAGGGTTTTTTATTGATTTTAGGGATTAGTATTTTGCAATAGTTTTAAATAAAATTCAATTGTATGGATATTTGGCCGTTTGGTTCATTAGATGGTGGCTGCGAAATATGCAATGCTACTACCTCATGATGCCATTATCCAAGTGCTCTTTAATTCATGCTTTAAGGTCAATTGGCATCCTTAGCATTGCTTTCCAAGAATCTTTAGCTACAACTTCCACTACAAGGCCCTACGGCCCTACGCATCGCTCATCTATGGTTCATTGAATTAGCGCCTTAGTAGACGTGGTTGGTGAAGTCGTTCTTCTCAAAGTTCCAGGTGTCGTCGGAGATTCTGCCTCTCAATTCGGGAATCTCAGAGCCACGCACGTACACGTCCTCGAACAAGATGGACATCTTGGCCTCTGGTGGAGCGTCAGCCTCGGCAGCAGCAACCTGCTCGTCAACGTACTTTCTGGCAGCCTTGTCGTAAGACTTGATCTCGGCCTCGTCGGCAAGGTTCAAGTCCAAAAGCACGGCCTTCAAGCCGGCAATGGGGTCGTTTCTGGATCTCATGTGCTGCACCTCCTCTCTGGTTCTGTAGGTGGTACCGGGGTCGGACATGGAGTGACCACCGTATCTGTAGGTCTCGAACTCCATGACCAAAGGTCCGTTACCGTTGGCACACCAGTCCTTGGCGAACTTGGAGGCCTGGTAGCAGGCCAAGATGTCCATACCGTTGACCTTCAAACCAGGAATGTACTGGCCTCTCTTGTGGTACTCCACCATGGCGGACGAACGGGCTGCAGAGGTACCCATACCGTACTTGTTGTTCTCGCATGCAAAGATACATGGCAAGTCCCAGAGCTTGGCCATGTTGTAGGCCTCGAACACCTGACCCTGGTTGGCGGCACCGTCACCGTACAAGGCGAAAGTAGCGTTCTTGTCGCCTCTGTACTTGTGGGCAAAGGCCAAGCCGGCACCAAGAGGCACCTGGGCACCGACAATACCGTTACCACCGTAGAAGCCAGGAGCAAACATGTGCATCGAACCACCCTTACCGTACGACACACCGGAACGCTTGCCCATCAATTCACCCAAAACCTCCTTGACAGACGCGCCTCTGGTGAAGGCAAAACCGTGACATCTGTACGACGTGATCACGGTGTCCTTGTGGTTGATGGCATTCTCAATACCCACAGCAATGGCCTCCTGACCCACAGACAAGTGACAGAAACCTCTGATCTTCTTGGCCTTGTACAAGGCGTCAGCAGCCATCTCCATTCTTCTGATGATGATCATGTCCTTGTACATCTTCAAAAGCGTGTCCTTCTCGGTCTCAAAGGTCAAGGAAGGGCCTTCGTCGAGTTTGTAAGTTTCAAAGGACGATTCAGGAAGCTCGATTTGCGCGAGGTCCAGGGCCTTGGAGGCCAAGGATCTGGAAGCAGCTACCGCCCTAATTGGGCCCGCTTTGGAGCAAATGGCGCTTCTAAGCATTGGAAGGAAAGTGGTTTTGGTGGTTTTTGGCTCGGGATGGCCTTTTCCGCGCTGCCCGGAGTTGCACTTCCGGTCACGTGATGCCGTGGTGATAGCGTCTAATTTTTGGCCTGAGCGGGCGTGGGCGATTTCTAGTGAAACATTTGTGAAATCTCTGCGCTGGGCCGAGCATATCGGTGCAAAAATCTCCAAAATCGCCTCAAAATCCACCGTTTTATCCACCCCTCTAGCCCAAAAACAGGCTCCGGGCCCGGTCCTGCACGGCGCCGTCAATGGCTGCGAAAAGCGAACCGGACTTTCTCGCTCCGAAGGTTTCACTATGTGGGTGGTTTTTGCCAAAGGGGGAATTTGAATAATTGGTTTTTTGATGATTTTAAGGAGTTTTGGTGATTTTTTATATTACATTCTGAAAATTCGGTTTCTGCTGGATGGACTATTTCGCCTTGTTGGGCACTGATAAGAGTCGCGAAGCCGCCCCAACGTTTCCGTCTTTTCAGGGCAAGGTGGAGATGGAGGTGGTGGTTTTTTACTGGATTTTGGATGTTTTAGTGTTTTTCGGGTTCGTTGATGTGTTTCATGAAAAATTGGGAATTTGCGTTTGAAAGGGCCGTTTTGGTTTTGTGGTTCTGACTGCTGGGTTGCTGGTTGAACGCATGATGGTGTAGCAAAGCATGGAGGTGGTTCACGATTCTCTGAATTTTTTGGTAAAAGTCTTCTAGGATTCGGGTAGTCGAAATTGTCAAAAAACGCCTGTTGATAATTTATTGAAAACTCGGCCTTCTCCGTAGCAAGCCGAAGTGGGTAGGTGATGCTCAGGTGGTTAGCTGGAAAGAGGATTGACAGTTCCATATGTAAGCGCCGTTTAAAGATTCTCTATTCCAAAGAATTTGTTTCAACGATGTTATTTGTATTTGTCTCATAAACACAAATGGGCCAATCTATATTGACCGTATGGAGTGAACCAGGTGACCTTAGTTTTCAAGTATGACATCCCAGACGGCATCGACTTCAGTCCTCAATTATTACTTGTGTTTTATAACTGGTTCTCTAACTGAAGGAAAACATCAAAAGAAGATCATCCCCGTGTTGGAAATCAAGAGCCTATGGTCCTTCTCAAGTGTAATAAGAGACCGGTAAGGCAAATGACATACACTTCGGGATTCCATATGCTTAACTTTCATAGACTGAATCTCATTATGCTGGAATTGATAAATTAATCGGGATATGATCAATGAAATTGAAGCTATGATGTACTGCTTTTACGGTGTATTTACCTCCATGGCTTCACGGTGATGCCTGGTAGCCCAACGGAAATGATGAACAGAAAGTGTCAGATTGCCCAAATCAAGAAAACTTAATATCAGCAGCAAAAGGGCAAGAGTCTAAAAAAAGGTATCTTGAGATATTCAGCCACTACAGAAGAAGTACCAGTCGTAATCCACCCAGAAGAACACCATCCATATAAGTACTGCTCCCTCAAGACCCACACATCTTTTTACTAAATAAAATGAATTAAAATCGATTTTTCAATATCCCCGTATCCATTTAAACCCCTCCCTCTTTCTCCTCCCCCTCTATTCCACAACCACCTCACCACTTATCAACACCGCCTTTTCGCAGCCAACCAGAACACACAAATCCCACCACCACCACCAAAAAGCCACCCCCAAAACTATAAATACCCCAAAATCCCCAGCCGATTCACCCTTCCACTAATTTTCCGAAACCCCTTCAAAAACTCCTTTTCCTCCTTCCCCACGATCGGCCTCCACGTGACTCTTCCGATCCACCATATCGCCCCATCTTCACCTACACCTTCTTCCCAAAATGCACCCCCAGTTGGACAGAAACCGTTTCGACAGCTGTGAAAAACTCATGGACGCCTTGGAGGAGTGCCACAAGGCCGAGTTTCTCAAAAAAGCCATGGGCATGTGCAACTTTGAAAAAGACGAGTTGACCAAGTGCATCCATGTTCAGCGAACCGAGGATGCCAAGCAGAGAATCATCCAGAGCAGAGAAAAGCAGAAGGCGTTTCAGGAGCAGCAGCGCAAGCGTGACGAGGAGTTGTACGGCAAGAACGGCTACTTGAAGAAGGTCATCGAGATGGAGGCTCTGAAGAGGCAGTAAGCGAGGAGTCATGGCCTGTTTGAGGAGGTTTTTCAAAGAAGTTTAGTCTTCTGAAATTAAGCTTCTGTTAGATCCGTGAAGCTTTAGCTTTTGTTGAAATAAGTGCTTTTTGTTTGATTTGCACTGTCTGTTTGCTTTCAGTGAGGTCTGGTGGTCCAGGTACCTCAGGTTTACTTCTCCTTGTACATACATAATTAGAACAACATGTTATTGAGTATTGAAGCTTTTGTCTGTTCTTGTTTACGACCAGATTCGGAAAGATTTGGTAGTTATTGCTGTAGATTCACTAGACATCATATCTTCAGTACCAAGATGTTCTAGTTGTTCTCGAATGCAAACGATCGTTTCACGGGTTTATCATCTACTTTCTCAAAACAACCCAATTTCGAATGAACAAAGGAGATTTCGACTGAGCTCTTTTCACTTACCACTCTTCATCATTCCATAGATCCCATTCAGAAAAGCCTACATTGGCACCTGGCCTGGCACTGGCACTGGCACTCGGCCTAACACCGGCCCTACAACAATCTCCCATCTAATTCATTACCTGGCTAGTCCTGGCGGGTCCTGAGCACACGCTTGGTGACCTTATCCTTCGTGACAATGTAAACGACAGCACCCCAACCGGACAAGGCGTCTCTGTCGACGGCGTTCAAAAGCGCCTGCGAAATGGTCTCAAACAAGTCCTCGGGCTCCAAGTCCGGCTCGTAGAGCGACTCACACATACCGTAGAGCTGGTCACTGGCGGTACCAGAAACAATGAAGTCTTTGGCAGCGTCGATACAGCCAATCAAGTCAAAGCCGCAAATGAACGGCTTGTTGGTTTTCAGCTCCAATCCAGCAACAATGGGGCCCACGAAGAAAGGACCGAAACGCTTCTCGTACAACGACAGCGAAACCAAGTTGGCCAACGTCCGGGGCTCAATTTCTCTTTCTTCCCTCAACTTGTACAAGTTGTTCTTGAGACGGAAATCCTCTTTAAGCGTAAGCACGTCTGTGGCAAGGCCAGTGAGACCAAGGAACGTTTTGTCGCCAAACTGAAACACCTTTTCGAAGTTATTGGACAATCCAAGCGACTGGTTTCCTAGTCTGAGATCGGACGCAATTGCTATACATTCTTTGCCGACCATGGCGACGGCGGAGCCACCTGGGGTTAGTGATTGTTTGGGATTTTGATAGGGTTTAGTAGTACGTACCGTTGATGGAACTGGGGTCAGACATGGTTGAGTAGTAGTATATAATCGCCGCCACCTTTGATGTTGCCTGTCTGGTCACGTGCGCGGTCACGTGTTTCGAGGTGGTTTTTCTTACGTAAGCGCTTACGTAATTGCCCAGTCTGCCCATTTAGGATTTACC